TCCCAGTGGCTCGGTGAAGAATCTGCCTGCAGTGCAGGAGACTGAGGTTCAATCCCTGGGGTCAAGAAGATCCCCTGGAGGAGGGCATGGCAACCCACTCCAGTGTTCTTGCCCGGAGAATCCCATGGACAGAAGAGGCTGGCGGGCTACAGTCCATGGGGTCACAAAGAGTCGGACACGACTGAAGCACCTGAGCACAGTACATATATATGCATATATTTGGAGAAGGGAATGGCTACCCACTCCAGTATTCTTGCCTAGAGAATTCTGTGGACCAAGGACCATGGTGGGCTGTATAGTCCATGGAGTCCCAAAGAGTCAGACACAATTGAGCAACTAATACTTTCATTTTCATTTCCAGATTGATCCACATATATGCATATATTATATACTCTGTTGCATTGCATAAAAAATAATTTTTAATCTTTTGTGGAGCAATTTCAAAATTGCATTTTTTTTTTAACTTTACATTGCTCCTCTGTGAAAATATTGGTATAAATGCTGATGAGCATTTTCTGGCCCTTATAGTACATATTTAGACTCTTAAGTAGTGCTCAGCTGGGTTAGCGTCCTCACTGTTATGCTGACACAGAAAGGGTGGTCTACATTACTCTATACTCTCTTCTAGCCATTCAGATCCATATTGTAAATTTTTTCCTCTCTTAGCCCTAGCATTGTCCGCATTTAAGTTAAATGTCCACTTGTTCTGGAAGGAGGCTTTTGAGGCTGTTTGAAGGTGAGGAGACCTGCAATCTGATTGCCGATGGTTGAATGGTCTGACTGGAAACCACACTGGCCCCAACGGTCGGACGACTGTGGAAGGGGGCATGAATGAGGAGGCCGGGGTCTGATCAGTCAGGCAAGGCAGGCTTGATCCTGGTCCTGAGGGACTGGGGGGACGACTAGTGAGGCGAAGGTCTAACAAGAACCAAGTGTATTTACAGCTTTTCTTCTTGAAAACTTGGGTCTTTCCTTCTTTGCAGCCTTTGGGAAAGGACCATTTAACCTTATAGGGTCCTAAATGATTAGCCCAGATTATTGTTCTCAGAAGAGAAGACCTCGACTCCATCATTCAAAAGTATTCATTATTTGTGATGGGCGATGCTATAAATTTAGTTTCCAGCCATTTTGGGAGATGACTACCTGTGAGTTAACGTTCCTAAACCTGTATGTGATTTTCTTCATCAAAGTCTAATATTTTTAAGCCCCCAATCAATTCCGAGAGCAGAAACAAAGATTACTTTGTCCCAGGACTTGAAGTTGCTTTACTGACAACTTATGCATGTGATTTATAGCCTCATTTGAAATTTTTATAGTACACTACCTAAATGGGTGGTTTTTATAAAATTGAGTTTTAATTCTACCATTTACTAAATTCTGAAAAAAATGCAGAAGTGTTGGATTTGGGAATTATCTGCACAAAGTCCAGCATGACAGATCCCTCCAAATAGGGTTTGAAATGGGTATTTCACCTGTGAGTTTTCATGAGAAAACCTACTTTGAAGCTTGGTGTCACATATATCCCATTTTTAAAGATATTTAATAGTAAGCAAGTGCTTTTCTGTCACTAGAATCATTCCAGTTTCATATTTATTTTTTGTTGTTGTTCTGGAAATAGTTCAGACTTATTTGAAAAAAATCTGGTGTAATGAAGCTAACCTTTAAAAGAAAAAAAAAAGTCTTTTTTTAAAATCAGAATTAGTATGAACAGTGAACAGATGTTTGGTGTATAAAAAAGAAACATGAATTTCTTTATTATTCCAAATTGCTTTTGAAATATTGTTCATGACATTCAGTGAGAACAATTGTTCACCATAAATTCTGAAAGATAATCAAATCCTCATGCTTTATTAGCCTTTAAGTTTTGTAGCAATGAAAAAAAACTTTCAAATGTGGAATTTCCTTTTGTACCTATTCTTGTGAAATAAATTGTTAACATTATATCTAATCTAATCTAGGTCTTTATTACCTCCATCATCACCAATTCTTCTGTTATATTTCTTATATTAGATTCAGAGGACCCCAAAGTGGTCCATGTGATGTTCTAACACTGAATTAAGTTTTGTAGAGTTGGGTAGAGATCAAGGAATTTAAACAGCTGTAAATTACCACTATTTTTCATTATTTTTTATAAAGGAAGTGAAGTGAATAGAGCCAAGTTTATTTTTCCTCAGTCATCATGCCTGTAATAGAAGCTATGTTTTGTTTGATAATGATGGAAAATATAAAGATATATTTCTGTGTGGTTAAATGTAGCTCTACTAGTATTTTGAGCATGAGTGTTGTGAGAGACGAAAAGATGAGATAAACTCCTAATCAGGGAGAATTAGATGTATCTATCATTCATAATACATAATATTATGTATTACATAGTACATACTCGACAAACATCTTAAGACAAGTGAGTTCTATGACACAATTTACTCATCAAAAGGAAAAAAATATAATGTATGAGAGTCAGAAATCCATATGGACCAGATTCTAAGTATTTTGATGAAGCTAAGAATAACTCTGGTGATAGTCTCATTTAACCCGAAAGTAGGTTGGATGTTGCTCATACACACAGTTCTTGTCCTATAGTTTTCAGTATACTACACTGTACTAACTTGGTTGTGTATGCTTCACCAGATTATAAACTCTTTGAGGGCAAGGATGAAGTCATTTTTCCCAATGTACTTTAAGTAGCAAGAGTCAATGACTGGTCAAATGTTTATGTAATGAATCCATAATAAACACATTTGGTAATGAGCCCCTGATCTATTGGGGACCGATGTTAATTCTTACAAAAAACTTTGGTAAGAGCTTTTATAGGGCTTCCCATGTGATGCTAGTGGTAAAGAATCTGCCTGCTAATGGAGGAGACACAAGAGACGCAGGTTTGATCCCTGGGTTTGGATGATCCCGTGGAGGTGAAAATAGCAACCCACTTCAGTATTCTTGTCTGGAGAATCCCATGGACAGAGGAGCCTGGTGGGCTACAGCCCATGGGGTTGCAAAGAGTCGGACACAACTGAGGCAAGGAGTTGAATGCTACTGAGCATGCATGCATGTATGCACATACACACACACACACACACAAAGCTCTTGTAGGAGGCATGGTTTAGGTTACTTTATAATAGATTTTTCAACCTCAATTCAATCATATTTTCAATCATTTTTTCATATTTTCTTTGCCAGGCACACACCATACTTCTCTGACTCTCATATATTTTTTTTTTCCTTTTGATGAGTAAATGGTGTCATAGAACCCACTTAAGATGTTGAGTGTGTATTATGTAGAGATGTGCAATTTGCAGAAAACAAAGAAATGCATGTATTTAAGGAGGTTATATAGATAACACACCACATTTTGTTAAGAGGAGGGGACAGCTGTATCAAGGTGAGCAGTACCTTCCCCAAAGAGACACTGAATGATATTCACATAAAGTCGTATTACTATGTTTGTATGTGAAGACTCGTGTTGAAGTAGGAGGAAAGCCTCTTGTTCTTTGCTGGAAGCTGATATATGTAGTTGTGTCTTATAGTTTTATAAGAAATCATTTCAAAACACATAAAGGAAATTTTAGACAATAGACTCTATAATCCGTGTTTGTAAAAGGGTTTGTTTTAGACATGTTTTTAATTCCTGAATAGCACTTAAAATGGCAACTTGATCACAATGATTTTCAATGAGTAATGTGGAATGAACAAATAAATGAGGACTATGCATTGATAATAATGACTGAAAGCCTCATTTTAATTCTTGGGGAAACCAGTTCAAGTGTCCATAGTAGTCGTTTAATATATAGCTAAATATCAATCACTTCCTTGTTACCGCTGATGGTCCCATTTTGTTGAAAATCAATGGTCTCAACTAGCATTTGTATATACATCTTTCTGACCTTCACAGCAAAGGTTAAGACTTGCAGTTGCCATCTGTAGGCGAGGAAGCTAGGGCTCTCAGAAGCCAGATCACTTGTTCAGTTTGACACCATGGTGAGGGATAGAATCTAAATATGAACTCAGGGCATTCTGGTCCAAATCTTGAACTTGTTCTTCTGCGTCGTAGTACAAAAATAGAATGATTCCTTGATTGTAATCTAAGTTATGGTCTTTGTTGCATAGACTTGAATTTTATAATCTTTGGGTTTAATAAAGACATTAGTCTTTGAGTTTAGCTTAATAAGGGAACCTAAGACCTAGGCTTCTATTTAAAATGATGTACACTGTTCATATATATCTTTTCCATGCCCTCAAAATTTGAAACACAGCTTCTTGACTATGTCAACTTCTTTTTGAGATCATCATTAAAACAATTAATTTTAAAAAACAATTATGTTGCTTTCATAAGCGACTTATAAATGATCTTTTCTTTGGTTAACGTGGCTATTGCATTATGAATACGATATTTTTATACTTTTTTTTTGTATTGCAATAACCCTTGAAGATCATACATGTCCTTCTTCCTGAATCCAATTCAGTGAGAATTACTTTGCCGGCTGGTACAGTGGCATTCACTGCAGTCTGCAGAGGTAGCAGAAACCTAAATTTGTAAAGCGTTGCAAACCGAAAGCTTTTTGTGGATCCTTTAAGTTTCACATTCTGCATAGAAAACCAGCAAGATGGATTGAGAAACAATGCAATTTCCTCATTACGAGAGGCAGCTCCTAAGACCTGTGATTCTAAGAGGCGGTTATTCTGAGATGCTGCTATCAATTTTCTGTTCACACACAGCAACTGGTGGCAACTAAAAATAATCAGCTTGGGACCAGCTAAGAATCTGGTCACATTTGGCTCATGGACAGCGTGCAGAAATGAGATTCAGGGTCCCTCCTGCAGTCGCTTCTCTCCAGCCCCCTCATCTGAAAGCTATTGAAAAGCCATTAACAGGCAGGACCCGGAGAGAGAGCCGCAGTGCAGCACACCTCGACCCAGCGGAAGGTGGGGTGCCTGTGAGGACCAATTAGCGGCGGCTGTTCCCGGGCTCCTGGCACCAGGAGCCCTGTCAATCAAGGGGCTACAAGAGCACGTGCGCAGCGGTGGCTCCAGAGCCACGGGGGACCCCGATCTGAACTCCAGCTGCTGAATTAGAATGAGTTGGGAGCTTGCTGCCCGACCGTGGAGCTGAGCCTCGCTTCAGTAATGTGCCCCGAGGTACAGTGCCACCTGAGTAGAAGCTCTCTATAATGCATCTCCCGGGGACGGCAGTTGTAGCCGAAGAGAATGCTGGAACCCGTAGCGAGATTTCTGTCTGAGATGGAAAGATGTTTCACTCTCATTTTATCAAGTGCTGTAAGTAACCTTGCTCTTTGGTTCATCTGATTATTCGTGGTCTTGCAATACTATTTTATGCAGATGCCAGCCGGTCTGCTGGCATGCCACATGTGCCTGACAGAGAACAGAAAGCTGTTTCACATGCTAAATGAATGTCCTCTTCCAACCGGATTCTGAAATAATTCCAGTGTGATCCAACAGCTGATAGTATCGAAATCTTTAGAACTCTAGCTTTTGAAGGAAAAGATATAGCAATTTTTCTAAAAAGCAATTATTGAAAAAGAATTTCATAAGGTTTATTTCTAGGTATCCGCCTATATGAATACAATGTTGGCATAGAAACTTAGTTCATTAATATATGGCTGACTCCATTTACTTATTTTATTCTCAGGTTTTGCTACTTGTGTCTACATTTCATGCTTCACTTGTAAGCTTCACCTTTGGGTTTATCCTTGACTGCAAACTTTTGTCCTTGTATCATTCACCTTGCTGTACTCAGGGACTCAGGTAACATCTGTGACCAGACGCTCCACACTGATGCTGGTTTGGTGAAAAATAGTTTGGCACTGGCTTTTCTCATGGGTTCATCAAAGGTTTCTTCAGTTTCTGAATTTTTAACAGGATTTTCTGAGCTAGATAAACGCTGCATCTAAGCCTTTTCTCTGGTTTATAATGAAGAGGGAGACATTTTTGGTAAAAATAGCTTGCTAGACATGCATTTTTTTTTTCTCCTGTAGCACTTCTGTAAAGTTCTGTTACATATATGTCATTATCTGAAAGTGATGGGTGACATTTGTAGAAAATGGTTCCTTCCTAAGATGAAGGTTGACAGAAGACATAGCAATGTAACATTTAAGTAACATCATTCAGAGAACACATCTTTGGAATGGATCTTGAAAGGGGACCTAAAACAATCATGATAATGAGGAAGGGACAATAGTCACCCTTGTGGGAAATGCATGTAGGCATGAAAACTCTTATGATTCATGAAAAAAAGAAGAATTCCGTGCTATTCAGCACACCAATAGAGGCATGGTTTTGGCTTGCAGGACAGTTTTTAACTCCAGAAAGAATTCATTTGTAAAATCACTTGTTTGCAAGTTTTAAAATTAGCTCTTTAATGAATTGAAAGTGATTTATTAAGGATGGGCATCATCTTTAGGAATCAGGAGGAGTCTTTAAATCCCGGAAATCTTGGGGTTCCCATCCTGGTGAAATGTACAGGGGACCCCACTCTTGGCTGGCTTTTGTGTTGCCCCTCATGTTTCACTGCACCAGCAGAATGTCACTCTCTCCCCTCCCAGGGCTTCTGCAGAGGAAATTCCCGGAGCCCTCTGCGCCATTTCTACAAGGAGCCCGGGTGCTCCCAGGGAGGGAGCACTCACCTGGTGGGAGGCACCCCTGGGCATGAACAGAAGCTCAGAGGGACAGAGTGGCAAGAACTTGGAGGTTCAGGGGGCAGTCGGTCATCAAATGTAACTTGAGGCTGCCCCTTCCTGCCCTACATTCCTTCTGTTGTAGCTGAATTATCTGAATTTAGAATTTCAGAAAATTAGAAGGAGGGGTGATGTCTGACCCAGGGATGTGTTTGAGATCATTCTTGCAGTCCAGGTGAAATCTAAAATGAATGAACAGGGAAATGTTCCAAATACCTGGGAAAAAAAGTGTTCCTGATGAATTTCTCAGAGTAGTTGCCAACCTCTTACTAAAGATTGGACTGTGTCCGTAGCTCTGTGTTTGGCAGTAGCTGTAAAACGTGAAAGCAGCATGGATATTGTCAAATGCTAACTTCTCCTCGGATGGGATGGTACAGCAGGCGAAAGGAGTTCAGACATTATATTTCATCATGAGCCATGACTCAAGGGACATTTTATAGTCTTGACTTTGATCTTGAAGGACAGTTAGAATATAGTTGGGGAAATAAGGGCATTTACAGAATCAGAAAGTGCTATTGATAAGGATCATAATCCACAGTTTAATCATGATTCCTGATGCAAAATATATCATCATACTGTGTTCCCTTGACCTTGACCCTGGGGTGATCGACTGGCAAGGTTCACCGGTTGCTCCTTTCTTCACGCTCCATTCCTTCTGTGATGAGCCCTGTTTCTTCCACACGCCTGCCTTTTTATTCCGGCCTGTGTTTATCACCATGCCATGTGTCCACTTCCATGATGGACTGATTCCTTCCAATACAGGAAGTGGAGCAATTCCAGGGAAGGAAGCAGAGCTGAAAATATTCAGCAACAGAACCTCATGTGATCCTAGGAGCGAACCTTTTGGCAGGATGTTGGGAGACCACGAAGAGTCCATAGAAGGAACTTTGAGTAATCTGTGGAAATAGTCATTATTTAATGTTAAAGCATGTATATGCTGAAAGGTCTGAACACAGATTGCAACAGTAGCTAACTCTGACTTATGGAATTATTAGTTTTATAATTTAGTTAACTTTGATTAAAATGAATTATAATTGGTGTTATAATTATAATCAGCCATTAGCATCATAATCATTATAAAAAACATTTATATATAAATATTTATTTATTAATTATGACTAATTAAATGCATAGTTATAGGATAATAATATCAGTTACTTTGGTAAACTATTCTGTATTTTAAAAATTGTCTACAGTGTGCATGTTTTACAGTCAGAAAAACAGAACTTTAAGGCATTGTAGGAGACTATTCAGAGAAAGATATGGCTTAGACCCACACCAACAGCCATATTCCTTTCTGACTCCATGGGGCCTGACCTAATTCCACATGCACCATACATCTTACTCAGAAATGTTACAAGTGAAAGTTAAAGTGAAGGTCGCTCAGTCCTGTCTGACTCTTTGTGACCCCATGGACTGTACAGTCCATGGGATCCTTAAGGCCAGAATACTGGAGTGGGTAGCCTTTCCCTTCTCCAGGGGATCTTCCCAACCCAAGGATTGAACCCAGGTCTCCCTCATTGCAGGTGGATTCTTTACCAGTGGAGCCACACCATACATCTTACTCAGAAATGTTACAAAGTCGAGTGTAAAAGTGTCTTTTGGAAGCGAGGTGTAGCAGGAAGGTTTAGGAACACCACTGCAAACGTGCTGATGTTTCCTGCATCTCTGTGGCTCAGAAGGATCTTCCGATGAGTCTGCAGTGAGACTCTGAGCCGCACCTGGTGAGATGATGTGTGAACTTGGCCGGACACCCCTGTTGGCTCAGATGGTGATGAATCCACCTGCGATGCAGGATACCTGGGTTTGACCCCTGGGTGGGGAAGATCCCCCAGAGAAGGGAATGGCAACCCACTCCAGTATTCTTGCCTGGAGAATCCCATGGACAGAGGAGCCTGGTGGGCTACAGTCCATGGGGGTTGAAAAGAGTCTGAGTGACAGGACTGAGCGACTAGCAAAGCACTTTCACTTCTGTTCACTGTCACCTTATGAGATGACGTATCAACTTGGCCGGAAGCCTTAGCTGAGGTCCAAGGAGAAATGAGAAACGGACCTCAAGTGAGTTGTGGGCCTTAGAGTTCTAGTGCTTCGTGAAACCTTGTGACCACACTCCTGGTTTCCTCTTAACAAACTGGAGCAAAAGCTTCATGTCTGCCCCGTGAAATTCCCTTCTGTGTGTTGGGAAGCAAAGTGCTGAAACGACTCCGCCAGGCTTCAATCTCGCCTAGTTCGGTTCTTCTCTAAGCACGTGGGGTTCGGCAGCACCCTTTGTGGCTGGAGGAAGGTTACAGTTATTTACAATGAAGAGACTCCAGAACTGCTAATTCAGCCATGACAACCAAGGGGGAATTGTACCAGAAAGGATGATATCTTGCACATTAAGTACATTTTACAATGTATGCATCCTAAGTTGATTCAGTCGTGTTTAACACTTTGTGACCCTATGGACCATAGCCCTCCAGGCTCCTCTGTCCATGGGATTCTCCAGGCAAGAGTCCTGGAGTGGGTTGCCATTCTCTTCTCCAGGGGATCTTCCCGACCCAAGGATTGAAGCCGGGTTTCTTCTCTCTCCTGTATTGACAGGTTCTTTACCACTAGTGCCGCCTGGGAAGCCCTTCACAGTGTACAAAGTCAGCTTGCTTGTTTCTTGTCACTCATTCTCGTAAATGCTCCTTCCGCTAAGATGCCTTCCCAGATCTCACACTGACTGTGCATGCTCTTCACTTGTTTGAAAACCTCCACCACACGGTCCCACCTGCTCATGCTGCTGCCTTGCCTGCCCCTCTCCCCTAGCTCACCCTCTGCCCACCCCAGACCCATGGTCCATCCCAAGCCCCTCCACTCCCTCGTTTTCACCGCCCTCTGTTGCACTCGAGGGACAAAGGTTTGACACTGGTCGAATCCAGTGTTCCAACTCACCTGTCCTTCTGGTAATGGACGGTCATTGAAGGGGGCTGTCCGAGGAAAAGCAGACCAACCTCATTTTCCTTCCAGACAGAGAACACTCTTCCACACTCTGGCTGTATTCCACAAGTGGTCATGATGGCTCAGACCTAGAGACCCCTCCAGATCTCCCTGCTTGAGAAAGTGGAAACGGTCAATGTAACTGCCGCGTCCTCCCCCCGTGGCATCTGCAGAGGGCCAGCGTGTGAGTTCCTCTGTGCTCACTTCTGTCGTGTGAGCCTGAGTAGTTCCTCCTTGTATCCAAAGGATACAAGGTGCTCTGGGCTCTATGTGTCGCCTCCCTCGTTCACTTACTCTCTCCTTCACCACCCAGTGCTCTCCTCAGCATCATTTCCATCACTTTAAATGCAATCCAACAGTCCCCTTCAACCTCCTGTTCCTTTTTGGCCAACACCTTATTTCTTTGTTTTCAGGGTCACACGTTGGGAAAATGGAAACACGTGATCTGTGAACCTTGTCAACTTCTTTTGCTCCCCAAGTTGGTCCATTCACTGCTCCGCTGAGTGCACTTTGGCTAAACCATCTTGATGTGTCTAAACCGAGCAGACTTTAGTCCTTCCTCATGTGAGTTAATTTCTCATGGGATTTCGCTTCCTCTTTTACACTTCTTAGGCTATT